TATATATATATATATATATATATATATATATATATATAAATATGATCCATTTTCTATAATTAAAATATATTTGTCTGTTTGTTCATTTATACTTAGAAAAGAATCTGGAGCCATGCACACCAAATGGCTAACAGTGGTTAGCTGGGGAGTGGAAAGGGGCTGAGGGACTCTCACAAACTTCTGTACCACATAATTTTTTTTCAATAAGTACATACTATTTTCATAATTTTTAAAATACTGATGTGTTTTCTTTAAAGACAAGCAACACAATTTTATTTAATTTTAAATAAAATTTAATTGCTCTCAAAAAAAAAAGTCAGAAACTGCCAACTACTTGCCTGGGCCCCCAAGAAGTTGTTCAAGGTAAAAGAGTAAAGCAAAGCCCTTCTCATAGGGAACTGAAGAATATGCTACATCAGGGTCCACATTCGTCAGATCAACCACAAGTTTGGTGTAAGGATGTGTATCTCCAAACGTCTTTATCTGCAAGACACAGAATTCGATGAATGTTCAAATATGAAGACTGGTTACCACCATGCAAGCCCAGAGGCATAACTTTAGTAGGACAGTCTAGAGCTTAAACTGAGAGACTAGAAATTGTAGGGTATGTTAGCATAAATTTCTGGAAGTCTATTAATGGAATGGCTACTTGTGTCATGTTCCATAACATTTCCTGCCCAATAGTGGGTTTTATTCTTATAAAAAACTAGAAAGATGTTTCAATTCCTAGTCAGCAAATTCAACCTTTAGGAGGGAGCACTGAAAAATGACATAAATATACCAAATAAAATTCAAACTAAGTAACTGACTACATTAATTGTAAAGACCCAATGAGGTCCTACTGGTCATGAACATGACCTTACACAGCATAATGATTAGCATGTATCAATAGAATATTATACCAGATCTGCTTGATTTTCCACACCTGTAAAAATGGCTTTCTTGTTGCTACCTAGTAAAGTTAGTTTACAAACTATACTTGAATGCCTGTACAACCTTGGATGAATGCTTTTCACATCATGACTCACTTACTGAATTCTGTAGTTCTCCCCATCCTCCCAGAGCATGAAAATGTCTGAACTTTTCACCAAACAGTCGTCCACAAATGTGGCGTTCCAAGTACACAGTATGTCCTTCGTTTAACCTGAAAAAATTTTTTTGTTGTAAATAAAATAAAAACAGTGACACAGTCGAAAGGAAAGAGCATTTTAATGAACAAAAATTTCCTTTTGGCTTTTCCAGAGTAAAGCATTGTAAAGCACAAACACTACAGTCAAAGCAGATTGCCTAAATGGCTATTCTGCATTCCATTCAGAACAATGGGAAGCCCAGCCCAGCAGATAGCCTAGGGGAAAATTAAGCCTGGGTTCTTGTTTGACGTGTGTATTAAAATGTGACCACACCAGGAACTAAATAACAAGCATAAGCTGAATACTCCACTCTCCCTAACATTGTGACAAGTGTTGCAGAATTTTTTTTTTAACTGTCTATCAAAGAGATGATAACAAAGAACAACAAGATGTTTCCACAAAACAATTCAGAGGGCCAGGAAGTAAGGAAAGAAATTAATAACAAGGACCAATAAAGAAATAATAATATTAGGGGTGCCTGAGTGACTCAGTTGGTTAAGCATCTGACTCTTGGTTTCAGCTTAGGTCACGACCTCACAGTTCGTGAGTTTGAGCCTCATGTCAGGCTCTGCGCTGACAGTATGCAGTCTGCTTGGGATTCTCTCTCCCTCTTTCTCTGCCCTCCACCCCCACCGCATCTTTCTCTCTCTAAATAAAAAAAATAAAAAGAAATAATAAAAAAATCTCACCAAAAGTGGTCCCAAGTTTTGTTGGTCACTAGATTTCCTGTCCAACTATGAGATATTTCATGTGCAATAACCTAAAATGGAAATGATTCATAGTAAATAGTGGAAGGGGTTAGGAGTGAAATGGATCACTTTAATCTAAACTCCATAAGTAGGTACTCTAGGTCTTTTAATTCTATGTTCAATTTTTTTTTTTTTTTTAGCATCAGCTGAGATATTCAGGGAGTTAGTTCAGCATATGAATCATAATTTGGCCAAGGACAAAAGTACAGTTTAAAAAATTAGAAACAGGGATGCCTGGGTGGCTCAGTTGGTTAAGTGTCCAACTTCGGCTCAGGTCATGATCTCACAGCTCATGGGTTCAAACCCCGTGTCAGGCTCTGTACTTACAGCTCAGAGCCCGGAGCCTGCTTTGGATTCTGTGTCTCCTTCTCTCTCTCTCTCTGCCCCTCCCCTGCTTGCACACTATCTCTATCTCTCAAAAATGAATAAACGTTAAAAAAATAATAAATTAGAAACAAAAAACTATTTAGAAAATATTAAGTGGAGATATCACTTCATTAAGACGTATTTCATAAACGTATGAAGATCAGACCATAAAGTTATGAAATCTATTAAATCTAACCGTTAATGTAACAACAATCCCCAAGTTATCTTTTATAGCCATATCTTCAATGTAACAATACAATGGGTATTTTAGAAAAATCAGTTGACTTAATAGTTCTTGAGGGTAAGACCCTGATAACAAATTTTAACTTACATTGGAGAGTGACTTGTCTCCTGCCTAAAAAAGAAGAAAGTTATCTTAGTATTCAAATTACAGACTATATTTAGAAGGCCGCCTGCATCAGGATGTATTGTGGTATCAGTAGTCCACTGTATTTCTACTATGGCACTCCAAAGGGTATGTACAGAGAAAATTAAACAAAAAATGCAGGACTAAAAAAATAGCGTAATGCTTTCTCTCCCTCATCTCAGGAATTTTTCCAGGACCAGGAAGGCCAGTATACTTATCTCTGATTAACTTTTGGGAAACATGTCTCCTACTTCCATTTTTGATATCTGCCCTAATTTCCCTCATGTACCTTATTCTCTCCTTATTGCCCACAGTGCATTTAAGAAAAGTCTGTAGTGATTTAAAGCAGCTTACAAAGGCATATGAGCTATAGCTATATACTGTAGGTCCAATCCTTCCCTATGCACGGTCAAGTAAGCTTTTGTTTATTTTGTTGTACCAGTGCCTCTACACCAAGTGTAAATGGTCTAGTTTCTCTGTCTGGCTGCATCATTCATCAACAGATTATTGTTATACAGCCTTCCCTCCCCCAACGTCTCCGCACACCTTGGACATAATATTCTTTTCTCCCTAAGGGCCATATTATTTTCTTTTGAAAAATAAGATGATGAAAATAACCATAATAAGCAATAAAATCAGGAAGGAGGAGGAGTTACATAAATAAGAGAAAATACGTTTTTAAAAAACATATTATTAGGAGTCTAAGGCTCTTCATGTCTAGCTTTATGTTTGGGGAGAACTCGGTTTCAAAGGAAGAAATATTTATACTTACCAGCAGAGTAGGAGTTACAAAAGTGAGGCAAGGATTTTCCATGCCACCGTAAGGGAAGGATGGTGGCAGGACTAACAGGTCATACTGCCCCCAAACATACGGTCCTCCCAGATCTTCTGCAATTTTAAGCATAGATTCAGTCTGGAAAATTAATGCATATATATTTGTATGTCTTAGTCATTCATCACAATGATGGATTTCTTAAACGTGTATATTGCTTTCTATGAAGGTTATGAGTTAATGATGCTCATTTTAAATGACATTGGCACAAAAAATGCAGCAACTACAAATTCACATAAAATAAGGTGTATTTGATTCTCTTACCACATCACTTAACACCATAACATTTCATCCTTAAAACCTTAAATCTGTCTACCACGATTATTAAAAAGGAGAACTAGATGACCAACCTCAGAAAATTCATAAGCAGACTTTTCCACCTGCTCTTTCTCAGACCAAACCAGTGTTCTTGGGCCAATCTTCCTGCAAAATTAAAAAGCTTAATAAGTGAAATTCAAGACAACTTACCTCCCTGGTTCTAGGAAAGAGCTGAAGTACTATACACAAATCCTTGCAGTACTTGTGTGATTTACCATGTGCTTATGGGGAGGAGGTGAGGTTAAATGGCTTCTCTGAGATACAAACCTGCTGTTGTATATGCAGCTCTAGAAGGAGGCACAGGCTAAGCCAAATGAAAACTGAGACATAAAGTGCCTTGATTGGCTCTGGTAAGAACTTTGGGGACCTAGTTTCCTCCCACAATCTCACAGCTATAGAAACCCAATCATGGCTCAGTAAGACGTTATTCCAGAACAGGGGCAGATGTAAACTTTGTTATGCATTTATAGGTTGAACACTCATATAAGAAGAAACAAGTAGAAAAACAAGGAAATCATGTCACATGCTGCAACATGACTGAAACTTGAGGACATTATGCCTAATAAAACAAGCCAGTTACAAAAGAATGAATACTCTAGGATTCCACTCATGAGGTATCTAAAGTAGTCAAATTCATAGAAACAGAGTAGAATGGTAGTTACCAGGGTGTGGAGAGAAATAGAAATGGGAGTTGTTTTCTAAAGGCTATAGAGTCTCAGTTTTGCAAAATGAAACAGTTTTGAAAATCTGTTTCACAATAATGTGGATATACTGAACACTACTGATTACTGAGCTGTACATGTAAAAATGATTAAGATAGTAAATTTTGTGGGGTTTTTTAAACCACAATTTAAAAAAAAAGGACACCTGGGTGACTCGGTCAGTTAAGCTTCTGACTTCGGCTCAGGTCACCATTTCATGGTCCATGAGGTCAGGCCCCGCGTCAGGCTCTGTGTTGACAGCTCGGAACTGGAGCTTGTTTCAGATTCTGTGTCTCCCTCTCTCTCTCTGCCCCTCCCCCATTCACGCTGTACCTCTGTCTCTCTCTCTCAAAAAATAAACATTAAAAAAAAATTTTTTTTTTTAAAGGAAGAAACAAATGGAACTACATATATCACTTATATAGGGCTAGAACTCAAAAATATTTTTTTCATCTACATTTCATCTTAAAAATTTTATGTAGCACCACCAAACCCTGAACAACAAGATTTTGCCTAGGTGTCCCATCCCAGAGAGGCAGTGGATTCTAGGTTGTTGCTTCTCAAACTTGCATAATGTGCATACAGATGATCTGGGAAGCTTGTTCATCTGCAAACTTTGATTTAGTAGGTCTGGATAGGGCCCAAGAATTTGCATTTCTAACCAACTCCCAGGTGATGCCAAAGCTATTGGTTTCTACACACACTGAGTAGAAATGTAACTCACACTATCTAATACATTTAAAGGGAGCCACAAGTATAAGCTGCCTATTTAATTTTAGATTGCCTAGTAGTCACATTTTAAAAAAAGTGGGGGGCGCCGGGGTGGCTCAGTCGGTTGAGCGTCTGACTTCGGCTCAGGTCATGATCTCGTGGTCTGTGAGTTTGAGCCCCGCGTCGGGCTCTGTGCTGACAGCTCAGAGCCTGGAGCCTGCTTTGGATTCTGTGTCTTTCTCTCTCTCTGCCCTTCCCCTGCTCATGCTCTATCTCTGTCTCTGTCTCTCTCAAAAAT